CATCTGTGCCCCTGCAGCCATGGAGCTCCACGCTGGGGCAGTTCTCCACCTGCAGCCCAGGGAGGACCCCACACCAGAGCAGGGGGATGCGCAGAGGAGGCTGTGACCCTGTGGGAAGCCTGTGCTGGAACAGGCTCTCAGCAGGACCTGTGGATCCATGGAGAGAGGAGCCCAGGCTGGAGCAGGTTTGCTGGCAGGACTTGCGACCCCGTGGGGGTCCCACACAGGAGCAGTCTGTTCCTGAAGGACTGGACCCTATGGAAAGGACCCACGTTGGAGCAGTTCGTGGAGGACTGTCTCCTGCTCCCCCTCAGGAGGAAGGAGTGGCAGAGACAACATGTGATGAACTGACTACAACCTCCATTCCCTGTGCCACTGCGCCGCTGGGAGGGGAGGAGGTAGGGAATTCAGGAGTGAAGTTGAGCCCGGGAAGAAGCGGGGGGGATGGTGTGTGTTTTAAGGTCTAGTTTTTATTTCCCATTATCTTACTGTGATTTGATTGGTCATAAATCAAATTAATTTCCCCAAGTCGAGTCCGTTTTGCCCTGACGGTAATTGGTGACTGATCTCCCCTGTCTTTATCTCGACCCACAAGCCTTTTCTTGTATTTTCTCTCCCCCACCCAGCTGAGGAGGGGACTGACAGAGCGGCTTTGGTGGGCACCTGGCATGTAGCCAGGGTCAACTCACTACAAGTGCCCTTCTCTGATAGACTAATTGGCTTAACGGATACTGCTTATCTTCACTACGGCTTCAAACACAAATAAGTGACTTACACAGAAACAGAAGACGCAATTGTTTGTGCTCAGGGCACACGTACATGGTCAGTCTCAAGCCTGTACTTGCGCATCCACCACCATTTTAGAAGACATGACGCTGGGAGGGCAACAAAGAAAAAAAAAATTGGAGGATCAGATCAAGGTTTCAGTCCCAAACCTGAGCACACAACCAGCTGATCAATGACCACCAACTGTCACAGCACTTCCAGTCTGTTTCAGTGCAAAGGAAAAAAGGGTTGGTCTTAGCTCTTTCATCAGTGATATATAGCTGGTCTCCTCAAGTTTGCACTAGAACAGAAAGGAAGAATTAACGTGGGCAGTTATGGATGAGATGCAGTATAAGAAGCTTTTCCTTTTTCCTCTTAGCTATTTACAGTCTCGGATAAAACAGATTGGACTCGCTCTCACAGTCAGGTACTGTATCTCATGTGACAGACAGTAAGAAACAACTATAACTGAACTAGTTCTACAAAAGAGCAATTTAGAAGAAAAATATGGAACAGAAGATTTGAAGCTCAGCAGAAACAACCACCAACGGTGACAGGGCATGGTGTTTTATATGACCGGCACGGATGTTACACAGCTATGGTACACACTTGCCAGGTGAACCCAAGCTCAGGATTGCGTAATTATAGGTACATAGGTAGGATTTAAGAACAGCATCCTACAGCTAAAACAGGAGGCACATAGAAGCCCATAGTTCTTTGGCTGGATCACTTCTACTGTCATTACCAATTCCTACTGTCATTACTGATTTGGATGATGAAACATAGCATGTTTTTACATAAGACAATATAAACAATGGAATGGGTTGTGCTGTCATCTGATTTGATCTGTATAAAAGAGCAAGAGGAATTTCAATTAGAAACACCAGCATCAAGCGTCACTTCAAGCTGATTCAGAGCCTAATGTCACACATCCACATTTAAATCAGGGCATAAGTACACTTGTATATGCTAGGCAAGACACGCTAGTTTCATGGTATCCTGGGCTGCCGTAGGAACAAGTTCAGAGAGGTGGTCCTCCCCTTCTACTCAGACCTGGTAAGGCCACACCTGGAGGAGTACTGTGTACAGTTCCAGGCTCCCCAGTACAAGAGACATGGACATACTGGAGAAAGTCCAGCAAAGGGCCACAAAGATGATGAAGGGACTGGAACATACAGGCAGAAAGAGCTGGGACTGTTAGCCTAGAGAAGATAAAGCTCATGGGAGCTCTTACACTACCTGAAAGGGAGGGTGCAAATATGATGGAGCCAGGCTATTTTCAGTGATGCCCAGTGACAGGACAAGAGTCAGTGGGCACAAACTGAAACACAGGAGGGTCCATCTGAACATCAGGAAACACTTTTTTTTTTACCGTGAGGATGACCAAGCACTGGCACAGGATGCCCAGAGAAGTTCTGAAGTCTCCACCCTTCAGGATACTTAAAAGCCATCTCGACATGGTCCTGGGCAACCACTCTAGGCAGACATACTCAATCAGGGGGGTTGGACAAGATGACCCCCAGAGGTCCCTTCCAACCTCAACCATTCTGTAATTCCATAAAGATACTCTAACAGCTCATTAAAACTCACACTTTCTTCCAGTTTAAGTTCCAATGGCAAGAAGACAAATAGAAATAATGCATCTACCTGCAAATGAAGTTTAAGGGACCCTCTAGTTTCAGACATCCTTTTTCCAAGTCTATAATTTTTGACAGAGCCACTGCATAGGTTTGGGCCTGTTGGGTTTTAATTTGTTTGGCTGTTTTTTAAAGAGGGAAGTGGAGAAAGGAAGGAAGAGAAGAGGCTAAGGAACAGCCTGGGCTTCTACAATTTCTTACTAGGGCACATTCTCCATACTTACAAACTGAGCACTTTCTTGCGCATTGTAAAAGATTTTCAGTGATGACCCTACTGCAACATACTAAGCAAGTTCTTATTCCACTAATGTTATATAAAAGCCAATGAGCATCCACATCCTGGACAAACCTCAACATATGTATCAGCCCTCTTAGCCAGTGTCACAAAAGGCATTATCAGTTGATTACCTAACAATAACATCTGCATCCTCCCACATATCACTGTTTTCTAGGACTTAGCACTCTATCCTGTAAACATAACCACCACTGAAGACTCACTCTTGCCTGAACAGTTTGTGAATGACCTTTCCACAAACCAGTCTTTCTCAAAAGATCACCAATTTAAAGAGCTGGCTCAATGCTTTTTGAAGTCTGATTTTGACAAGTTTTTTTATTAGATGCTTAAAAAAGACCGAAGATGTGTTGTTGATTTGTGAAATTTAAAAAGTGTATTCAAAGAACTAGTGTCCCCATATGTGATGCATTCAAAAAAATACATTTGGAGATAAAAAACGTATCATGCGTCATATCACTTTTTTTAATAACGAAAGCCAGAAAACTTTGGTCAGTTGTTTATAAAAAGTTCTAGATATACTTGCAACTGAAGTTATTGGTTTTCCAGTTTAAAAAAAAAAAGCAAAACAAAAACAAACACAAAAGCCCCACAGCAACCCACAAGTTGTGTCCTATATACAGATTTATCTACAGTAGTGATAGGAGAGGTGCACAGGATTTACAGGATTTTACCCTGTAGTGGTAGCTTCAGAATCGTAGTGCTGGACACCAGGTTTTCTGCTTTGCTGCCCTTCATCTCTAGGGTGCAGGATCCTCTGTATGAGCACAACTGACTTGTTAATTCTCGTCTGGTGCTTTACTGGGGAGACAACATAACATGAATCGCACACAGCCCTTCCATACCACTGCAGCAGGTAGCACAGCCTCAGCTCTGAGGGAGGACGACAGCCAGCAGACTGAGAGGTGGCACAAAGTGATGAGATCGGAGGTACAGAAGAGAATCGTGGATTCTGCAGAAAGGTTACTAAAACCTCTAACAATTCTGTGATTCTACATGTATACAACATGAAGTACTATTTCATTAGCAGTACATTTATATTCATCAGTAATTCACAAGTGAATTTTGTTCCATTCAGATATATTTTGGTAACAGTTTCTTTTAGTAAACAAGGTATAAATAAATTTGAGTAGATTCCAAATATGTATGCTTTAAAATTTAGAAAAGTTAAAATTTCTTATCGGACCAATCTTCAGGTTGTGATACACAACAAAATTATGAGCAAAAATAACCTGTCCCACATCTCAAAATAATGAATTTTATAGCTTTTCTTCCTTCAGATTTATGCTTCTAACATTATTGTCAACATTCAGCAAAGTTTACTTTAAAACCTATAGCTGTAAAAAGAATAATCTCTGCATAAAAAAGTATTTTGACAGACACACACACATTTGCAGTAATTTCATTCTGTGGGGAAAGAGGAAGGGTGAAGACAGACAGATTTGTCCTGTTTCCTAAGAAGGGATAATAGTAAAAAAAAAAAAAAAAATCAGTGTGTGTGCTCCCCAGACAGGAGAAAAATCCTCTTTTATGCTCATGAGCATTTGAAGCCCCTGCAAGAGGGCACAAGTTAGCATTCATCCTAACATAAATATGCCAGTAACAATAAAAAGAAATTCCCTGACCAAAGTGAGCAGCAGCAGGTGGCAAGCACTACATGGTTCGGCTTCCAGATGAACTGATTTTTAGTAGCAGAACTGTTAGTATAAAGCTTCCCACAGTCACTGTTACATATTACTTCAAAACAAATGGTACATGCTGCAAATATTTTAGCTAGGAGAAGTTAAGTGTCTGCATGTAAAAGCTACGAAAAGTTAAAAAAAAAAAAACAAACACCAAACCACTAGCAAAGACGATACCCATCATACAAAGTTATATTGTTTCCCAGTGTTATGAAAACAAGATACAAGGTACAATACCTAATTAAATGTTTTCAGCAGCAAGAAATTATAAACTACTTCACAAGGATATACAAGTTGCTCATACAGAATACAAGAGAAACTGAAGCCCAGTTTATGGCTGTTTATGATGAAGTTACACAATCTCAAGATTAGAATTAAAATCATTACACAAATTACATCCAGTAATGTTTAATTTCTATACCTTTGAGAAACTGGAGTATTTAAGCATCACCACTCCGAAAAGTATTAAGTTTTAGCAGTTTAGAACAAGAATACTTGTGGAGTCTTCCACCAACCTTCCCCAAAGGTGTCAGAGACAGAAGACTGAATGTTAATGTATTTTAATGAGCCATCTTTCAGAACTTATCCCTGAGAAAGCTCCGAGTGTTACAAATATTCATGAATTTTAATCAGAAACATTGATAACATTAAATGTTAAAAAAAACTGTTTCAGAACAATTACTTTCAAAAAAAAAGAGAAAATTCCATCATCTTTGAATTTTCATTCCAGTGCTGTCCATGAGACATATTTCCTAGAGATACTCTCCATATCCACGACAACCTGAGACAGACCAGTTCCTTGCACTACAGCATGTCCTTGAGGAAGCAATTCTTCCTGAATGAGGATTAGCACAAGTGTTGCCACAGAAATGGCAGTGTTTACTGGAGCCCCAATCAGAAAAAAACCCACACAAATATTTGTATTTTCCTTTTCTTAAAATCTCTTCCATGGAATACAGCTTTCTCAATAGGAAGCAGAAAACAATATGCTATCCCAGGGGAGGAAGAGACAAAATGGAAATGAAGGGCCATTGTCACATCCTGCTTTGTAAACGTCTGTCAATATGCAAGCACCAAGAACAAGGAACTTGGCACTACCATTTATTCAAAAATACATAGGAAAACTACAGAGTAGTACCCTCATCTAAAAAACACACAGTTCACTCCCCACACAAACTCCACAGATGTTTTTAGAATGCTCTGCAACAAGAGAAGCAGTACTTCAAGCTTTGCAGTCCTTCAATGCATACCACCCGGATTCAGAGAGGGACAGAAACAGTTACCGACAGAAGAACATCTTTTTACCAAAACCACCACTTCATCTCCAACCTAAATCTTGGTTGAAATCCTAATCTTTCTTCACACAACAGTTTAGAGGAATTTTGTGACAACTTGCTCAATTTTGCTGGTAAGGCCCCTGATCGTGGATCATCTTGGTTTGGACTTCAACACCCAAAACGGAGTGTAGGGTTCCAGACTTTTGTAAGATGACCTCAGAACGAAACCTGACATCATGCCAGTTGGAAATTGAGTTCCTGCAGGCTGTATACCATTTCTGAGGAGAAGCAAAGCTATTCTTCAAGCCACCCTCAGAAAGTTAACAGGAAATAGGAGGGAACAGACAGCGGCTTAAATATTTTTTTAGAAAAATAAAAAACAAGCTTGTTTAGTTTTGTTGTTGTTATTTACGAATTATCATAAAAGCAGTGCTACAGAAGGAATACCTTCAGTCCCTCCCACATGCCTTGAAGGCAGGCTGTTCCTAGAGATGTCTTCTCCCCTAAAGGGAATTTCCAAGTCTATGCTTGGAGCAGAATTACCACTACTCATCGTTTGCAATTTCTACATAAAGAAGAAATGCCCTAGTAAGGAAAGGGCTAGTAGCGAAACTGCTACTAATACAATGCTGGGCTTTGTTATACACAACTTATTGTATATTTATGAAACAGAGGCCAAATCCCAGCGGTATGGTAACAGTAAGACAGGCCTGCTTTCTTCTAAGTCTCCTATCTCTTCTAAGTAACCTACCCATTAAAGGACACGGAGAACACTGCCATGATCACCACAATTTTCACAACCTTGCAGACAAAACACAAATGACCACAAAGCAGCTGCTTGTTCTGTGTAACAGATCTCTGGAGTTTCCACCTGATAGTCCCTTTTTCAGATCTGCACTTTCAAAAGAAAAGGATCCTTTTGCATTAAAGGATCACATACGCACACGCCCTTTAGTACAATTAGTATCTTGGTGCAAGAGTCCTATATATTGGTGTTTCATCAACACTCAGATTTCTCAAATTCCCCACTAGTTGCTTTTCTAACAAATGTTCTTACGATTTATGATTTACCTTGTCTGTTTCATATTCCAGTGATTCATAAATACATTAAAAATACAGAGTGCAGAAGAGTACACATCATTTGCCATGCAACAAATGGCACCTCAGGAAAAAAAAACTAAACCTATGTGAATCAAAGAATCTTGACGTATCAAAAAACACCAAATAATTGTTACATACCAAAGGAGGACTGATGCAAAGCCAGACACGGATCACAAAAATGCAAGTGCAGTAGCGTATCTAAAGGAATCTAAAGGACTGTTACAGAAACAAGAATAATAGCCCTCTAAAAGAGGAACCAGTACACTTGTCAGTTATATTTGTCACTGTCTCCCTCTTCTTTCACAAAAAAATATGAATGATCATTCATGAGGTTGAAAATGTTACTAAAGCCAGTGAGAAACATTCATAGCTCATCCTGGCTACACTTCCAGTCTGCATTTGAATAATGAGCAACTGCTCTTTGTTAAACATTAATGCTTTCTAATGACTGACTGATGAATA